TTATTCATCATTATTATTATTATTTTTAACTTGACCAGATAGAGACAGATGGAAAGCAAGATAGCAAGCCACCAGGGCCTGGACTTGAACCACAGTCAGCCATGTGGAAGTCCAGTGCTTCAACCACCACGCCACCTGTTACTAGTCCCACTTTGCATAAAGGAAATAGACTAAGAGGGATTAAGGAACTTCCTAGGGGCCATCGTGAATACTAAAATGTGACAAAGATCGTAATTGAGACCTGAACCGAGCTGCTCTGAAGCCTTGTTCTCAGCCACCAGCTATCCTGCCGTCCAGGATGGCACAGAGACAGGAGGGAGAGCCGCAGACCCACTCCAGCTTGGCAACCCCTTGGAGAGGCCATGATGAGTTCAGGGTATCTACTCTAGAGAACTGGGTGCCTGTCCCAGGCTCTGTCCAGAGCAGAGCCCCATAGCACCTGCCTGATGAGGCGGACGCCACTGGGGGAGAGAGGAGGAGCCCAGTGTTTCCACATGGAGCCCGAGGACCTGTCCATGGCACCTGCAATAAGAGCCTGCAGTCTGGGGTGAGGGACTGGCACTGCCAATGGATCGATAAGGATCGCGGAGTCACAGAACAGAATGGATTCTCTGAGGGAAGGCATGGCTTTTAGCCATTTTTGGAAAACAAACAGAATGTATTCTTTTCTGTACATTCATTTCTTTCTAGGACACACTGGCCTGAGGGTAAGAGGTGCCTGAGGGGACAGGTAGTGGTACAGTGGTAATATGATTAAACCGACATGGGAAAGGCCCTGGGTTCAAGTCCCAGGACCTCCCTGGCACTCTGGGTGCACAAACATGCCTGTGATCTGGGCAGGCTGAGATGGCAGGGGGAAGAGAGCAGCATGAAGACTGTGTTCAGGGTGCCTGTCTCTGTCTCACCATCTCTCATACAAGGCATAAATGAATAGAGAAAAAAGAGAGAGAGAGATGACCCCCTCTTTGAAAGGTCTGTGCTCCAAAATGCCAAGAGAAGAGGAAACTAAGGAAAGATGGGATATCCCTCTTCAAATGACAGAGGCTGTCACATGGGAAACACAGGCACCTTCTTTTCCCCAGGGCTGAGGGCAAGTCCCAGTTCCCAGGAAGGCCATCTCCTCTTGGCAGAGGGCAGACTTTCCAAAATCAGCTCAGTAGGCAAGGGGTTGGCGGGGGTTCCTGCACTGGGTGCAATGGTTTGAATGTGTCCCCTCCAAAATTCAGATGTTGCCAATGTGACAGTATTAAGAGGTGGGACCTTTGAGAGGCAATTAGGCCACAAGGGCTCCTCCCTTGTGAATGGAATGAAGGCCCTTATAAAAGTGGCTTCATATAACATTCAGCCTCTTGGACTTCCATCTGCCATGTGCAGACACGGTGTTCCCCCCCTCTGGAGAGCGCAGCAATAAGGCTGCTTCCATCTGGGAAGCAGAGAGCAGCCCATGCCAGACTAACAAACCTGCCATGCCGTCACCTCCTTCTCGGACTTTCCAGCCTCCAGAAATGTCAGGACCATGAAAATGAATTTTTGTTCCTTACAAATGGCCAAGTCTTGGCTATTTTGTTACACAGCACAAAACATACCGAGCCAGTGGGGGGGTCAGACAGAGTCACCTCAGACAAATTTCCAACCCTGAGGCTCTATGGCTTAAGCCAGAGCATGGTTGAAAGCTGCCCAACAATGTTTCAGAATTCTTCTTCCTCAAAAAGAAAGCCATTGAAACTAACAAATAAGAATATTATTCTAGAAGGTCCCCCTCACAAGCATGTTGGGTCAGGGCCTGGGTGTGAACATCTGGGGTAGGGTTGGAGAGGTGAGGACAGTCTTTTGGTCCCTGCTGAAACTTAGCCAAGCGACCAGCAACTGTTGTGGATGAGAGAGACGGTGAGTATATTCTTAACAAAAGCCCCTGACATCATCCCCAGAGATCTCACAGCCACACCCCGTCCCTGCCCAGCACAGCAGATGAGAGGCAGCTGGCCCTTCCCCAGGGAAGGGGGTTTTCTTTTCTTTTTATCTTATTTAGATTTTTGCCATAGGGTGCATATCTAACTGGAGAGAGACAGAAAAGAGAGGGAAAGTGAGAAATCACCTCCCAGAGTGGATGGCCATACCACAATCCCTTCTCAATTCTCCTTCATAATCCCTTCTCCTCAATTCTCTTGGGATTTTAGGCACACACTCACATGCACCTGGCCTGTTTCTCAAGCCACCAGTCCTGGGACTCGAACCATGGAGTTGGCCATGTGGAATGGAACACCTCAACCACGTCACCCACTGGCCCCAGGAAGGGGAGTTTTCTAAGCACTTCCCTCTGGGTAGCCTGGCAGTCACACTCAGGATCACACCTCCCTCCACTCTCAGGAGGCCGGTCCCCCAGCCAGCACAGCGGCCATACATAAACCAGATCAAACCCAGGGGGTTTAGGACCCCTAAATCCAGGTGAGGACACAGAGGCCTGCAGCCACACAGCCAAGTCATAGTATAACCAGCTTTGGTTCAAACACTGCCCTTTGTCAGATACTATAGGTCCCTAAAAATGCGAAGATGACATCGTTGTCCCTGAGGTGGGAGAGAAAGACTCCAAACAGAAAACTGCCTCGAGCTGGGCGAGACCCCTACAAGGTAGGAACAAGCCTTCTCTTCTGCTGACTCCCTGGATCCAAACCATTCCATTTCCCCTGACAGGAGGTCAACCATGAGCAGGAAGAACCGTACTGGGAAGGTAAGAGGTGCAGAGGGAACAGGTGTCCGGGACCTCCCCACAAAGTGGTGGGTACAGGTGGATCAGGGGCTGGGAGTGCAGGTGGGACCAGGCCAGAGCAGGGAGGAAGGTCAGCTACTTGCCAGCACTGGGCAGTCTTGAAGTGACCAACCAGTGGGCCCAGCTGGTATGTGATGAAGCCCAGCTCGAAGCCATCCTAGGAAAAAGACCAAAGGTTCCACTTCATGAAAGTGCACTCTATACTTGACGCAGTTCCCCACCTTCTGAAGAGTTCAACAACGTGGGTGATGGGGAAACTGAGGCTCAGAGAAGTAGTTACCAGTCCAAGTTCATTCTGGCTGAAGTGTCGGAGTTGGGACTCAATGCCACTGACTTCACTATTTCTCCAAACCATGAGTGCTGGGCCAAGAGAAGTGACCCAGATAATGTCACCCACCACCCACGATTGGGGCTGAAACAGAGACTGGCCATGAACTAAAGATGGGACAAGGGGTACCTAGCCACAGGCTGGCCTGTCAGCAACACGGCTCTGCCACCAGGCCGGAAGTGTATCACCCTGCAGCCAGGCAGGGTCAGGGCTGAGGGTGCAGGCCCTGGAGTGGGAGCAAGGACCCCAGGAGGATCAGAGAGAGGGCCTCTGGCTCCACCAACCCAATGCCCAGCGCAGAAAGAAGACGTCGTCAGGCTTAGCAGGACTGTGCTGTGGGGCCGAGGCTGGGGACTGCTCCACCCCTCCTCCTCCGTCATGCCTGATCATAGCTGGGTGTGATGATTCTGACACCTTCCCACACAGGCCAGGGTGAGACAGAGTACTGCAGACTCCCCACAGACGGACTTGTGGACTCCCGGGGCTGAGGACCAGGGTCCCACGGCTGGGCTTGGCTCCTGCCCTGTCTTGGTTCCTTGGCCCCACTCCTCCGTGCCAATCCTCCCTGCCCCTTCCTGGGGTTGACTGGACAATGGTCAGGGCTAAAGGACCCTGGCTTTGTCTAGATCAGACCCCATGAAGGAAGACACCTGCAGCATCTAGAACTCTGAGCTTCTCGAGAAGCCAGAGAGTCCAGAGTGTAGACTAGCACCATCCAGTCGTCAGCAGAATGGAGCCCTGCCGAGGTAGCCAGAGCCCAGGTTTCTACGTCTCAGGCAGTCACAGCGGCTCCTGGCACTTGGCAGAAAGCAGAACCGCTCCCTAGGAGGAGAAAGTGGAGGAGGAGGAGGAGGGACTCAAGCCTCAGTCTATGCGGCCATGCTACCTTGAGCTGCTGAGTAACAAAAGGCGCTGGATTTGAACAGTGGTGTAGAACAGAACTTCCCAGAACACTCTCCCAGACGCCCCTCGTTCCCTCCCCAGCGTAGCCCAGCAAAGCAAAGCCTCCATGTTTTAGATGAGGAAACTGAGACAAGAAAGGTCACGGGCTGGCCAACACTGAGAGACAAGGTCATGGCCGAGGCTCGACCCCAGCTTTTCAGACTCTGAGTTCTGGTCTTTGTCAGTCTCTTGCCTGCTGCCCAGATGTGAATCTATCTATGTTCCTCTGGCCAAAGGGCTGGGATGGCGTCCAGATTCACATGCATATGAGAAAAAACATCTGGATGCTTTAGAACTGCCCGGGTCCACAGCAGAGCAGGTTGGGGGAAGGACGGGGTGGAGGGGGTCAGGGAGGAGACTAACACCATCACGAGATGATGCCTCACTCATGCTTGACGCCCCCGCCCCCAGCCAAGCTGGAAGAGCACCCTGGAGGCCTGACCAATGTTTCTCTGGTGCCAAGAAACAGCGGCCGTGTCCACCACAGCAGGCCTCCACCTGTCTAGAAATCGACACTGCCCAGCATGGCAGTGGGAAAGTCCATGCCACTGGGAAATGCAGACTCCCTGAAGGTGTCTGTCTCTGTACGTGTGTGGAGGCAGGGACACGCAGCAGGTGTGCCTCGTCCAGGGGACTGATTCAGTGGCTCGAGTTCAGAAAGGATTTAGCGAAAGATCAAAGAGGGAAAGCAACTCACCGGGGCTCTCACCACACCATGGCACCCAAATGTGGGTCCTGAGCAGGATGGCCCCAACTGTGAGGCCATGCGTTTGCCACAGCCTCACCCCTCCCTCTGCCATTACCGCCCACACCGGAAGAGAGGAGCCACAACCTTAGACACCATCGTGTACAATCCCTCAATAGCTGCTTAGGGGTGGGCTTTTGGAGTGGGGACGGGCTCAGGCCAGAGCAAGGCAAAAGGCTGGACAGCCATGCACAGAGGGGGCGGGTGGGGGCACCTACCTGGACTTCACGTGTATGATAGGCGATGATCAAACCCAAGAGGATGATGGTAGACAGACTGATAAGGCATTTCAGGGCCAACGAAAACATGGAATCCTGTAGGAGAAATAGAAAAGGAGAATTAGGGCGGGCCAGGAAGGAGCGTCTCATTTCACTCTGAGCTTTACAAAAGGAAAGGAGTGGGGACAAAGGAGGGACTGTCCCCAGCCCCTCCAAGGAGCAGGGTATAGCACAAAGTTATTCTGAGCCAGCCCAGAGCCCTGGATGGTGCGGGACTGCCTCTCAGCAGCTGCCTGTACCCCAGGCCTCTATTGTCTAGGGCTGCATCGTATTTGCATTCCGGGGAAGAGCCCGACTTGGGCATGATGGATGACGTTTGTTATACATGGCTAGATTCAGCTCGCTGATGTGCTATTTAGAATTTTACCTCCATGCTCGTAAGTCATATGAACGTTAATTCTCTTTCTGTGCCATTGTTATCTGGTTTGGGCATCAATATTATGCCAGCTCGGGCCTCTGTTTCCTCTTAACAAACCTGAACCGGAGGATTCCCGAGGTCCTTTCCGCCTTTGACCATGCAGAGTCCTCTCGGGAATGAATGGGACTCCCTGGGCAGCTGCTCTCATCTCCTGGTTTAGCCACGGCAGGGGCAGCAGGGAGAGCAGGGGTGAGCACAGCAGTGGAGAGGGGTCCTGAGTAGGAGCGAGGCCTTGAGGGTCCCTTCAGTGAGGGGAGGGCCATGCACAACCTCCACTGCAGCCTTCTAGCCCCAGGGTAGCCTAGAACCTATAGCCAGGTGGTTAGGGGCATGAGGGCTGGGGGGGAGAGGAGGGTGCAGACGTAGACTAAGGCCACTTAGAGCTGCGTGACCTCAGGCTGCTTACTCCACCACTGCACACGTTGGCCTCACGTGTCAGATGGGGATCGTTTGTTATTTTTTAAAAGAATTATTTTATTTAGCTTTATTTATTTATTTATTTTTATTTGACAAGAGAGGGACCGAGTGAGAACACGAGGGAAGTAAGAAAGCAAGCTGCCAGGTCTGGGACTCGAATTGCTGTTGGCCATGTGGGAGTCAGGTGCCTAAACTACCACACCACCTGCCGGCCCCAGCTGGGAATCATATCAGTACCCACCTCACAGGCCACTGTGACAAATAAAGGAATCAATTTACGTCAAGTGCCTGGCTCTGTGAGTGTTAGCTACAGTCATTCCATTCACTTCCTCTGCACGTCGGAGCATCTGGCCTGAGACGTGGGGCATCCCTGGGCACTTGGAAGCCCAGAAGCAGAGGTGGAGTCCAGTCCCAGAGGAAGATGAGAATGCAGCCCTAAGCAATGGCAGCCGTGACCGGGTGGCATTACTTACTGCCCGGCAACCCTGTGCTGGGCCTGCAAGATGCCCGCCATGTAAGCAACAGCCCCTGCCCTCAAGGAGCTGGTAATCAGATCAGTGGCCAATTTCACAGCTCCTTGCAGTTTGCAAGGCAGTTTCACATCATTGTTCCCATCCATCCCCGCAACAGTGCTTGGCCTTGACGTCACAGGTGGAGGCCCAGAGGGGTGAGTGGCTTCTGCGAAGTTCAAAGCCAGGGCCTCAACCCCTCTAGCCCAGAGCCCTGTTCCTGAGCCCCCAGGCCCACTCCCAGTGGGAAACAGAGTAGAGGGAAGAAATGTCCACTTAAACAGACCTAGATGACAGCTTAAGGCAACGATGGAGACATTTCAAAGGTAGAAAATAACGCCCAGTGAAACCTTTGGGAGAGCTAGGGGAGGTCCAGGGAGGGAGGCGTCACTGCGGACAGGTGAGACACAGCAGATGGGAGACCCGGGGGAGGTCTGCAAAGTAGCCAATGCCGCCACTAGAGTGAGAGGAGGGCATGGGACTTGAACTAGGTAGTCCATGTGCTCCATCACCTTCTGTGGGCTGAGGCGGGATGAAAGCAACTCTCCCTGGTGTCCAGCAACCTCGCCCTTCATGTTTAGATACATGGATAGGTACGGTTATTAAGGTCACTCTGTGCCAGGCACAAGCCAGTGCTAGAAATATAATGAAGAACTAATGAAGTCATCCATTCATTCATTCACTCTTTCATAACAAGTTAAGCCACTTCTGACTTGTTGAGCACCTCTTGGGTATCCAACAGTATCCCTTTAGGATATCCTAGGTGCTGCAGGGTGTCCAGAGAGAGCCTCTGGCCAACAGAAGCTTCCGGTCTGTGTGCTTATACACGACTCCATCGCACTGTGCTACATGAGGTTGTCATGCTATGGGAAAAGGTCTCCGTTCTGTGCTACCCACAAGACAGTCTACACGTAGGTCTCTTCCTGTAGCCTTTTCCGTCCACAGTTTAATAAAGAACAGCCTGCAGTCCTGTACTCGGCCCACAATGTTTGGGGGTATCCAAGGGGTAGCTGGTGCCACCCTGGTCCATTGTGATCACGAAGAAAATCAGAACATAGTTCCAGTCCTAAAGAAGGCTCTGATCTATAAAAGCACTTCTTGGGACCAACAGTTGGAGTAATGGCTATGTCACTGGACTACCATGTAGCCGACTGTGGTTCGAATCCCGGATCCAGAGGCTTAAACTCAACGCCGGGCACATGTGCGTGCATGCCCAAGATCCCAAGAGGAAAATGGAGGAGAATGGAGGAGAAGAGATTGCGGCGTGGCCATCCCCCCTGGGGGGGGGGTGTGATTTCTCGCTTTCTGTCTCTCTGTCTCTCTCTGTCTTTCTGGCAAGCACACGTGTCCTATAGCAAAAACTTCTCAAAAAAAGAAAAAAAAGTCCTCCTTAAGGGCCAGACCTGTGGTCCAGTGGTTAAGGGAGCTGGATCCCATATGACCAACCACAGTTCGAAACTTGGCCCTGGTTACCTGAAACACACACCAGGTACCTGTGTATAGGCACCCAAAATACCCACAGGATGGAAAAACAGGAGAAAAGATTGCAGCATGACCACCTCACTGGAGGTTCTTTCTCCCTCTCCTTCTCCCTCTGCCACTCCATCTCTCTCTGGCGAGCTCATGGGTCCCTTGCAACTTATAACAAAATGAAGCAAAGGAAAACAAAAATAAAAACTGCTGTGGAGGGAACCAGACAGTGGTGGGTTGCTAAAACACAGTATCTGAGCATAGGTGTGCCCAAGATCAGGGCTGGCAGAGGCTGGGGGCGAACTGTGGCATCAAGACCCTGCTGGGGTTCTGTTTCTCTTATTCATGGAATAAATAAATAAACTTTTTTAAAAAGAAAAAATCAAAACAAAAAAAACAAAACACTACTCAATGTCTGAAACACCACCCCATCCACAAGTCCTAGGCGAGGCTGAAGACAGCAGGTGGTGAGTTCAGGGACGCCCAGACAGTTCTAGGAAAACGAGAATGGACTGGGGACAACGCACAGTGTTTTCCAGCCAGAAATGACCATAATGTTCTTCTCAAAGGGGTCTGATAACATCTGGGGTGCATCACAGCTCCCCTGGGGAGGGTTTGGGAATCCTCTGCACATTCAACCTCTAATTTATTTCTCTTGGCAGAAACGAGCTGAAATCAGAATCCAAATCCATTTCCATCATTCTTGGAGGAAAAGATGAAGGAAAGGGGCCAAGTGACGGCTCCTCTCCTTTGAGCGTCTTCCTTTTGTCCTGAAACTCAAACTTTGCACTAAGAGATGACTCCCACCTGCTCTGCGTTAACCAGCGCGGCCTCTTAGGTCAGCCCAGCCCCATGGGAAGACCGAGCGGCGCACAGATCACAGATCACAGATGGACAGAGACTCTAGATACTTTACAGACGATCTCGTGTCCTCCGTTGTATGTCAGAGAAAAAATAAAACCATCAACTTTTTAAAAAATGTTTCTGTTATAGGGTGCGTGCACTCCCCGTAAAGAGACAGGAGAGAGAGAGGGGAAGTGAGAAAGCACCCCCTCGGGTCGGGGATGGCCATGTAGCAACCCCTTCTCTTCATTCTGCTCTCGGGGTTTGGGGCGCGCACACATCTGTATCCGGTGTTTCAAGCTGCTGGGTCGAGGACTCGAACCGCACAGTCACCTGTGTAGGACCCAGCTGCCTTAACCTGTATGCCACCTGCTGGCCCCCATTAACCCATTTCTAATAGCTGGAAAACATGTCAAAGACTTCTGCCTGGACTAGAAATGCTTTCTATTTGTTAAAATGTTAAATTATCATCTTTTCTTTGCTGCCTGAACGCCAATGAAGCTTGAAATTGGTATGGCTCTTTGGATGATGGTGGCAACACAGGGCTGTCTAATTAGCCACATATCACAGGGTGAGGCTCCTGTCACACCTGCTCTGCCCCCACTACCTGCAATCTAAGCACCAAAGAGGGACGTGTGGAGCTGGGAGTCCCGTGGTCAACTGGTCAACACTTCTCCCCTGTGACTCGGAACTTTTCAACAACAGAGGAATACTCTTTAATACACAGGAATGATATTCCTCTCAATGAGAGTCATTTTAAAAGCTTTTTATTCTTAAATTTCCCCAAAATACTCGAGTAAGTAATTTGAAACCAGCCGGTGGTAGACCTCTACTTAGCCACTGAGAACTACCTCTGTAGAGGGTATTTGAAGACATGGAGAAAGACTCGTGATACATTAAGTGAAAAACTCAGGCCTCAAAACTATACCTTTTCAACTTTTTTTTTTTTAATGAAGAATGAGACTTAAGTGTATCAAATAGCTCTAACGCTATGGAACAGTGGTAATAGGTTGCTCGGAAGCCGGATCCTGCATGGTGACTATGGTTCAAATCCCTGGCCTGGGTCAGCCTCAAACATGCCGAGGAGATGTGTGAGTGCTCACAGCTCAGTGGGCTACAAGGTCACAGCACGGCCAAGCCCTCTGGAGGGTGTCTCTCTCTCTCTCTCTCTTCTGTTTCTCTCCCCTCTCTCTTGTGTGTGTGCACATGCTTTGTCATTAGAAAGAAAACAGCATTCTGAAAAATGTATGAAGGGTCAGTAGGTGGCGTGGTGGTTAAGGCAGCTTCATCTCAATTGGCTGACTCTGCGGTTTAAGTCCCGGACCGGGCCGTTTGAGAAACATGCCAGGTGGGGGGTAGGAGGGTAATGTATGAGTGTG